TGCTGGAATATGTATAAATGATTGATATAAATTATTCTCTAACCAAATTGATGCAATGGCAAATCATGTAAATAGTCTAGTAAAATTGTCTTAATTAAAAAATGTCTTGAGAGTGAACCTAGTGATGACACATCAGCATGGCATTTTTGTTAATACCACATGAGACAAAGGTTATTTTTATAGTGTTTTCTCTTTTAATATATTAGGGATTACCAATCAAACCAGTAAGCCCTCGACACAATTAGCCAGACCAGTAATTAAATCTGTAATTTGGATACTAGTCTGTCCAGTTATATCCATAAAAGGTGAGTTTTTTTATCCGTTCAAACTCAATAAGACTTGGCAAAAACTATTAATTCGGAAAATATCCATGATTCGGTTAGGTAACGAGTCAAATCATGGCCGACATCCCAAACGGAAGAAGGAAAACTCGTTTTTTCCTCTTATGTTTAGAATGTTTGAATTTCACTAAAGATCATATTTTACAGAGTATTCTCTCACTTTTCTTTTACTTAACTTCGTGATTGATTTATTCTATTTGAGTAATTTTGAATTTTATATGGCCATCTGGGTTTGGGTGTTTTTTCTTCTTCTTTTTTTTTTTCGGTCACGGAGTTTGGGTGTTTAAGTTATTCATATTTCTACAATAGAGGTTTGTTTTAGAAAAGAAAAGAAAAAAGACAATAGAGGTTTGAACCAATTTTCACGGGGTGCACTTTTCGTTTTGTTTTTTTTTGTTTGTTGCAAACACACTTTTCTTAAACATAACTACATTGTGTGAATGAAGATTAGCTTGAACGATAGTTTCAAAATTTTCGTTTCTGAGAGTATAATAAATGATAAAGATTAACTCTAAATTTTCATTTGAGATTTATATATTTGCTGAGTTAATTAGCTCAATGCCAAAGAAAGAATGTCAACTAGGTAAATGACAAAGAAGCTACATAGTGAAAATACTTGTATTTTGATATATATATATATATATATATATATATATATATATATATATATATATATATTTTAAAGAGAAGCAACCAATGTTTTTAAAACCGGATCGGAGAATGAACCGAAAAGATTTTCGGGTCATGGGTTAATCTGGTCCGACCGGTTCAACCGAATTTTCAATAAAATTTATTTAATTAATATATATATATCAATTTATATTTAAGTGTAATTAGTCATTAATATAATTTGCTACTTTAATATTTTCTTTACTGAAGAAGAAAAACCCTACTTTCCTTTTTTCATAAACACCGCCCCCATCTCCTCTAGACTCTTCTCCTTCTTTTTTCTCCTTCGTTCTTCTCCCTCTTTCTTCTCCCTCTTGCTACTCAAGTTTAAGTTTATGTAAATAGTTCTTCTAATCTTCTTTTCTTCCTTATATCTATGATTTTTTATTTTCCTTCATATCATATCATATAGATCAGAGAAAATCAACTGAATAATCAGTTTTGACTACATGAATAATCAGTTTGATCAAGCATATCATGGAATGGGACAAAAAAAAAAAGATATGCTGTCAACTGACTCAAGAACAAGTATCAATCTAGGTTTTTAAGAATCCAGAAAAACATAACCAGATTTATGATTTTATTCGAACTGGCCGGTTTCCGGGTTTTTACCGGTTTTCTGTCGGTTTTTTCGGGTCAATTACAATTACGGTTTTTCACTAAAATCGGACCAGGATAGGCACCGGTTCCCGGTTAAACCGGTCCGACCGGCCGGTCCGGTCCAATTTTTTAATCATTGGAAACAACCAACACCATTGATACAAAACGATTTCATTGTGTTCTTGGTTGGGTTTGATATTGGTTGGTATTTTAAATTTCAAATCTGGGTTACTTAAAAAGTAAAAGCAATTTATCCAAATATAGTTCACATTTTTGGGTTATATTTTTTTCTTTTGAATCAAATCGGGTTGGTTCAGTTTGATTTATCCGATTGGTCGTCTCTACTCTCTAGTAAGTTTATGGTGACTTAGAAGTTAGAATTTATTTCTAACAAGCAAACAAATAAAATTGAGAGAAACAAGTATATACCTAAGTCACTAAAACAAGAATATACATTTTTCAAAAGACTTTTTTTTTTCTTTGTCGGCTCGCAAAAGTGTTCCATTTTCTACTTTTATGGCCTCTAAAAGAGGATAAAGATACGAGTAGTCCAAGTTACGTTCCGTTCATCGTTCATATTTCAGAAGATTATTTTTCATATTTAAGGGGCAAAATTGTTTTTTTTCTTACTAGAGATTATTGCCGTGGTCTAATTTGCTCACTTAATTGCATGCATGGTTTTGAAATGGTTTCAAATTTTCAAGATTCTGGTTAGTTCTGGGGTCCGGCCTATAGTATTAACAACAATTCACGGTTACCTGCCAAAAAATGGATTTTTTCTCCTCTAATATATAATATATATATCAGACGTAATCCTAAATACTTTTAACACTGAAAAAAACACTAAACTGACTTGAACTGAACATCTCTGATTATTAAGAATCTCATATAATTTACGACAAGATCTCTTATTATTGAGAATCTGATCATGATACGTATGTCTAATTAACTGTTAGTTCTAAATTAATAGAAAGTATGAACTAAAAGCTTCGAAGTTTTGGGTAATTTAAAAGAGTTTAAAGAGAATAAAGAACAAGTGTTAAGAGAATAGGGGCATATACATTAATACCATACTGCTTAATAAAGAAAATATGAAACATTTGAGCTGGATATCCAAAATTGTAGGATATGCATGTCGGAACCGTATGCCGAAAGATTTGATGTGGGATTAGATGCCAATTGGGTACTTAAACAATATATGAGAAACAAATATTAGAAGAATGAAAGGCATGCTAACGAAAACTGATGATTAGTCTTTTATTCAAGATTAGTCGATATTTTATCCTAGTTGAACTCTTGAACAAACATATACATCATCACTACTCACTAGTTAAGTATGTGCTCCTATCATCAAAATCTTGATCCAGCCAATTTGTACGAGTCTCAGTTTTTAATAGATCTACTATATAATGTGTAGATAGGTTCAAAAGTCTAGTAATTTACAGCTTCGTCAGATATTTATAAAGAGTGACGCTTATAAGAATAATAATTTGGCAGATCTCCCAGTTTATTCATTTATTTTCATTAAACCTAGATAAAAAAAAAATCAAAGACAATGCAATAGATAAAAAAAATGCGACAAATGTCTTTGCCAAAGTTTAAAATGCATTAAAAAGGTTTAAAATATATCAAGTAGGAATCTTCTACCTTCCTGGCCACTTCACTAAAGCCCGGTGGGAAGATTCTGCGACTCTCAAACCTCTTTCAATACTATTTAATTAAGTGAATATCTGTCCTAGTTTATGGTAATAAACTAAATTAGATATTCTCTTTCTTTCTCTCTTTTGCATCCACTAAAATTTAGAATAATTACTCAACTTTATTTTAATTCGATTTAGAAAAAATTATTGATCAATCGTTATCTCTGTCTCTCCCCCTCGCTCTCGCGCGACTATAAAAATAAAAATCTTGTTGCTTAGTATATGCTTGTTTATTTTATTTTGAATCTCAGTTGTTTCTCTCTTTTTTTTTTCTCAAATTTTTAATAAAAAAATATAAGGTGGTGGAAGAATATTTTGTTTATTTTTTGGCAACGACTCTTAATCACCCTAAATATACCAAGCCTTTACTATTGATTCCTTTCATAAATGGCAGTAGTGATTCCATTCATAACTTCAAAAACAAAGTATATATTTTATATTTTACTTTTCCGAAAAAATCAGAATTGTTAGCTTAAACGTATTTTGTCAACAGTTTAATCACTTATTTGTAGCTTCATTAATATAAAACTGAATTCACATGTGAAGTGGTGAACCAACAAAAGTAGAATCTGAGATTGAAACAATTTTTCGCTTTAGTAGATATAATATAAAGCTTTTTTCCTTACCCATTTGTTCTTTATAACAAGTTTCCATATATTCCCTTTTGCTCTATGCTTTATATCATCCTCTTTTCTCCTTTAGCCTCTCTTTTCTCTTTCTTTCAAATGTGAGTATTAAATTATATATTAACTTGACAAAAGAAGTGATTGGAAACTAAGCATACAAAAGAGAAATAATAGAAATAATAAATCAAGTGGTTCTAGTTTGATAATTTACACTGAGAACCACTTGATTCAAACTATTTTTTTTTCTTGTCAACTAAATTTTTTTGGGTCAAAACACATAATATTTAAATAAATCAAGTATATATACATTTGAGTTTTTTTTGAATCTTTATATTTACCATATTTTAGATGTTTTAATCGCATCATTTTTTCCTAACCGCTAAATCACTTCTTACCGCGCCAATAATATTTTGGTCACCGAAATTAAATCCTCAAATTTTGTCCAAAATATTAACTTAAAAAATCCAATACATTTTCTAAATAAACATACATATATTTGGGTTTTCATGAAACCATCTATGGTAGCATCAAAAGCCTTAAATAAGCTTTTTGAGAGCCACAATAGTCATTGACTCGTTAAAGAAGAAGAAGAACGATTTCTATGGAAGCTCTCTCTCTCTCTCTCCATACATATATTCTTATATATGTGTGTATATGTGTATGGTGACAGATCACTTTATTCCATTGCTTTGAATTGAGCCCTCTAAAAAGGACAGGAACCTCCTCGTGATCCTCCTTGTGTCCACAACCTAACATTTATTCCCCTTTTCCTCTATCTTCTTCATTCTCTCTTCTTCTCCAAACCCTAATTTTCACAAACCCTCAAAAACTTTGAATAAATTTTGGAGAAAATTCTAGCATATACACATCATCTGAAACTCCTTGATCATCTAACTATAGCCTAAATCATTAATATATATTCTTCTTATACACACACACACACACACACACACACACACATATATATATATATATATCGAGAGAGATATCTAGAAATATTATAGGCTATATATATGGCTTCCTCATCAGAACTAAGCTTGGATTGCAAGCCACAAAGCTACTCTATGCTTTTGAAATCCTTTGGAGATACCTTTCAGAGCGATCAAACCACACAAAAGCTCGAAGATCTTCTTTCCCGCCTCGAACAAGAACGTCTCAAGATTGATGCCTTCAAGCGCGAGCTTCCCCTTTGCATGCAGCTCCTTAACAATGGTGCACACATCCACTTATAAATATTCACACATATATATAGTTGTGTATAATATGAATGAAAAATCTTTCCATTATCACAAAAGAAGACATGACTTAAAACAAGAACCAAAAACCTTACTATAGAACCATTAGTTATGTCTATAGAAGAGTTTTTACCTTTATAAAAAAAATCTACGTTCATTAATTTAAGATTTTAAATTCATAAAAATCAGAGCTTGCTTTTGATTCTTTGAATCACAAAACTTTTGTTTCCTCCCATCAATGAAATCAGCAAATATGACTAAAGTGGTTTTAAATTTAAAGCTTCATGTTAGTTACATCTCTAACTTGCGTATTTTAAATTACTTTATTATCTTTTTTTTTTCAGCTGTGGAAGTCTACAAACAGCAACTAGAAGCATATAGAGCAAATAGTAACAAAAATAACCAAAGTGTTGCCACAAGACCGGTTCTTGAAGAGTTCATACCCTTAAGGAATCAACCGGAAAAGGCAAACAACAAAGGGAACAATTGGATGACGACTGCTCAGCTTTGGAGCCAACCTGAAACCAAACCGAAAAACATTGATTCAACTACTGATCAATCTCTTCCAAAAGACGAGATTGCTACTAGTCCGAAACTCGGACATTTTGATGCGAAACAAAGAAATGGTGGTGGCGCTTTTCTTCCTTTCTCTAAGGAACAATCTCTGCCTGAATTAGCTTTATCTACGGAGGTCAAGAGAATATCTCCGACCAACGAACATACTAATGACCAAGACGGCAATGATGAGAGCATGATCAATAATGGTAATAACAATAACAATAATAATAACAATTCGAATAGCAATGGAGTTTCTTCTACAACGAGTCAAAGTAATAGAAAGGCACGGCGTTGCTGGTCGCCGGATTTGCACCGGAGATTTGTCCAAGCGCTTCAAATGCTCGGTGGTTCGCAAGGTATGAAATTATCTACTAAACATAATGATTTTCATTTGCCAATGATATTTGATGCATCAAAACACATCATGACCGTACAGTATATATATTTATACAACTCTGGTTTTATATTAACAGAATCCAAATTTCAGTGTGGATTTTTATTTTCGAATTTTTAAGTGAACAAACGAAAGGATCAATTTGCGATGATTTAAATTTTTAAAAGATATTGTTACGTATTAGTATGTATGGATCAACTTGAGAGAAGATTATGACTAATTCCATTTAGTACAGTGAATTTTAAAATAAACTGAAATATTGATTTGATTTTTGTATTTTCGATTCAGATTTGGATTCGATATCTGTTATATAAATTGAAAATTGGCCATTTTAACTAGATTGAAATACAGTTTAAGTTTTTGAACCGAATCAGCTATGCATTTTGATCGTGGTTTGTTATATTATTGCAGTGGCTACACCGAAACAGATAAGGGAACTTATGAAAGTTGATGGTTTGACCAACGATGAAGTCAAAAGTCATCTCCAGGTAACCTACATCACAAGTAACCACGATATGTTTAGAATTATATACACACTCATAATAATTTATTGGTACTTTGTATTACTTTCAAACAGAAGTATCGGCTTCACACAAGAAGACCAAGCCCAAGCCCACAAACATCAGGTGGTCCTGGTCCTCATTTGGTGGTCCTAGGTGGCATATGGGTCCCACCAGAGTACACCACCGCACACGGTGGCACTCCGACTCTCTACCACCACCAAGTCCACCACCACCACCCTACCGGAGCGGCTCAGCCTCCACCGCACTTTTGCTCCTCTCAAGAATTCTACACAACTCCACCTTCGTCGCAGCCGCTCCACCAGCACCACTTCCAGACGTTTAACGGCTCATCCGGAGCTGGCACTGCCTCAACCGATTCAGCTCATCGCCAGTTAACGGACATGGCAGCTGATGAAGAGAAGTCGTCCGAGAGTGGCGGTGGAGAAAGAAAAGGGTTGGCTGCTCTTAGGGAAGAAGGTGAAGATCAGAGCAATGTTAATGGAAGTGAAATAACTCTCAAATTTTAAAAGAAAATTTATTGATTAATTAGTTAGGGGGAGTTATTCTAGGGTTAGGTTTTGTTGACGGCTACGTGACAAATTTCATTGCTGGTAAGTTGTATCTCTCTATATATTTTTCAGTAGAAAAATAAATTGTAGGAGGCATCGAGTGTTTTATTATCTGATTACCATAATTAATCTTGTTAAATATGTGTCAAGTAACTGTGACTAATTGACCATCTGAATTACTCTTCCCTAGCTAAGGATATACTGATATACATGTACACCAAGAGACTATTTTTTGTCTTCTTTTACTTTAGTTGGTGTATTTGGATAGTGTAGATAAGAATTATGGATGTGTTTCGTTAATCATGTCTAAATTGATTTATCAATCATTTAGGTGTTACTTACTAAATTATATCTATTCTAAGAAAATTGGGGTGATAGTGTACATTTGGAGTTTACTGTCTCTTGATCCTATTAAGTCTCCTCTCCAAAAGACTACACTCCTGTTACCAACCTCCACTTCTACTCAGGCTCATATTACTAGGCTACATATTCTTGGTTCAAATCAGTTCGCCTCCTTGATTACTTCTGAAGTTGAAGCAAAAAGAAAATAATTGTCTTATAATTTTTGTTTTTTCAAGCAATGGTATTTCGTCTATAAGTTGAGGAAGGAATAATCAACACAATTAAAAATTAGACATTGCAAAGATGCTAAAGAATAACAAGCTAATTAACGACGATCATACCGAGACAACAGAAACTGCAGAAACCATCAAACCAATGTTGGGTTAACTTTTGACCTGACACTTGGGTTAATAATTACCGTTTTAGACTTTTACGTATAAAATACAACTATTACTATTTGTGGGATGAACAGTGCTACGAAAGGAAAGTATTTACAAATTACCAAACTTCGAATGTATCGTGCACCAACCATAGAGGACTTGAGGGCCAGGTCAGCATTAACTCACATAGCGTGCAAAATTTTCTAAAAATGTATCAATTCCCAGCTTTCTTTTTCCATCGTCAATGTTCATAAAATACTACAATATATCCATTTCTCCAAAAGCTTAACTACAAAGAAAAACCTTTTCAAAACATAAAAAAATTGAGTCTGATTCCTGAATCAAGAGTCAAAACCATGATGGTCTCACGATCAAATCACGATTAATTGGTTCTGCTGTCATTTTGACTAGGTATAATTATATTGTACCATTGTACCAACTACCAAATGATAAATAAAATAACTACAAGTTGGGCGAAAAAAAGAAACACAAATAATAGTTCAAAAATCATAATTTACCATGGGCCATATACGTTTTTGGAGTTTGGACATAAAAGGTTTCAGATTCTTGTCTGTGGTTAAACCTTGGAACTAGAGAGATGGTATGGTCTTATCAGTCACTTTTATTAATAAACTCGTCTATCTCTCTCATTCAACCTCATATCTCTCCTTTTCACTCTCTCTCTCTCTCTCAAGCTATCATCTTGGGTTAGCTTTGGTCTCTTCTTAAGAAAAATCGTCATGAGACTGCTTCTGGGTCTCTTGTTTCTCTTGACCTTAACCAACTATTCAAGTAAGCTTTCTTGTTTTTCTACCACTCTCTCTCAAGTTCTTCACTAAAAGCAAATATTTCTTTCCACGGTTTCCACCAATCACAACGTGATCTGAATCGGTTTTCTCAAAAGAACCATTTTTTAGTAAGCCCACTATTGTTGATATTTCAATCTAAAGCAACCCTCTCTGTTTTTTTCTCTGTTTCTAGGTGCAGCTTACTGTCTATGCAGAGATGGAGTTGGAGAAAAAGAGCTTCAAACGTCAATAGACTATGCATGTGGAGCTTTAGGAGACTGTAATCCAATCCATGACAAAGGTCCTTGTTACCAACCCAACACTGTCAAGAGCCATTGTGATTGGGCAGTCAATAGCTATTTTCAAAAATCCGGTCAGATCTCTGGAAGCTGTAATTTCTCAGGCACTGCTACGACCAGCCCAACTCCTCCTTCAAGTAAACTCATCCTCAAAAACCAAAACCGATCTCTGAAACCTAAATTTGTTGGTTTGATGAAGTAAAAAAAAAAAACAGTAATCTTTTTGATGATTTCCTCTGTTTTTGTTTTGTAGCTGTGGTTACTGGTTGCATCTATCCTTCATCTCCTGGGTATGTTTACTAATTTAAACTTCCATTAAACTCTTAAGATTTGACCAACAAACTCTTACAACAGGCAAAAGGGAAAACTAGTTTCAATTTCATGCTATTTCCTTACACACCATCAAAACATAGCCACCAACCATAACTTCATAAAGTTCCTTTCTTTTCTTTCTTCTCAAAGATTTGGTACGAGACATTTTTTGTTTAAACTTGAGTTGAAAGTTTTGTGTGTTTTTACCTACTTTGTTGTCTACAGAAATGCAGGGACAACTCCAACGACCGGGCCTCCAGGAACACCGTTTCCGGGACCGTTTGGTCCGACTGGAAGTTTTGATCCTTCAGGCGATAAAGAAGCTTCGAGTTTGTTCATATCGATAGCACTCACACTTGGTTTCTCCGTCATTGCATTTCTATAAATGGCAGTGATTAGAGAGTGATGCTGAGGTTTTGATGTACGGATGAGATTTTGCCACGTGTGTGAATGCAAGTTCTTTTGAGGCAGACATCCACTTAGGATTGGTCTCTTGATGCTAGGCTTTCTTTTTAATATCTGTTTCTCTTTGATGTATCCAATGCAATGTAATGTAAGTAAAATTAATGGAATCTTTCTTATTAAGTGTTATATGCAGAGTAAAGAGAATACATACCATAATGAGAATGTTAAATAACGTGGCAACATGTGAAGTGGTAGAGTTATGGCTTAGAGATGATGTGCTGAATCAACATTTTGACTTGAGCATTGTAGTTTGGTTTTTCCGGTTACGATTATCTCTTTTGCACCCCTAGATCCGACCCATCGCAAGGATACAACATGACTTATTAAAAGATGTGTACATATTGATATTGGCTGTGTTAAAATATTGTAAGTGTAAATTTGTAGCGAGGAAAGAAACAGGAATTTTTTATTTAGTTTGAAATCGAAATTTATTAAAAAAAAAGAACATCAAAGACATTAAAGCAAACTTATACAAACCACAGAACCTGATCACTATAACAGAGATCAATAAAGACTACCATTATTCAAACAAACCAAACTTAATTATCACAAAACAAAACTCATTCTTAATGTTGAATACTGACATAGTGATTCGTCTCCAAAATCAGTTTGGTTAGGGCATTGTCTCTCTTTGCAAAACAGTGGATGGAATGAGAGAGAGTCTTTTCTCCTTGATCTCGACTGGAACAACATGAGAATTCCAGCTATGGTCGACACGCCAAGGTTCATTCTTGGTTTGTGGTTAGAAAGGAAAAAGCTCAGCAAAAATGGTGGCAAAACTGGTGGAAAGAGAAAAACATAGTTTATAAGGAAAACAAAGGAAAGAGAAAAGACAAAATAAATAGTTTTGGATCTGAGCCTGGGTCTGGTCTCGGGCTCTATAAGTAACTCGTTTTTGCAACTTTACTTTAAAGAAAATGATATTCCACCACGATCTCACCAATTACAAGTTGGCGTTTTAATCGTTTGTCAACCAGTCTTAAAGAAGATTTAGGATGATCCTATCTGTTAGCGGGAAAAAAAGAATGATTTAGTGATTGGACTGATTGAAAGACAACATGAAAACATAGAAAGAAGGCTAAAGTTGTAAATAGGATTTTATGTGAACGATTAAGGTTCGACCACATACATAATTTGATCAACCCATCCAATATTCAGTTCCACTTACATAAACTTCGGACTCCGGTCATAAGATTAGTTAGCAGGCTGAGGTCTTGTTAATGGAATTAACCAGACAAATCGGAACATGCATCACATGCACCACCACCCATAAAATCAAGAAAAAGCTTTCAATATGTCAATCCTTATTATGTGGGACCTGGTAAATTCCCATGTTTATAGAGTGTGTGACTGGTTTCTTGAGTCTTCTAAATATATGGATGAAATTTGAAAGAGTGTCGTTGCTAGACCATGCAAAGTGTATATCTTAATTTCTCTTAGAGCACATGCAACGCACTGCTTGCGTTTCTTTAGTCTAAAAGAAAAGAAAAAATGCTAAAAATTACACATGTGGCAAGCCCACACCCGAGAGTCGTCGTCTCTCCCGGAAGAGGCCCAAAACCGTTTCTTCCGGCCACGTGTCACACGCAAAACACTCCGAGATTTTTTTTTTTTTCGGTGTTGTGTAATTTTTTTTTCTCTTTCCTCCTTCTCTCTTCTTCGTTCTTCTCCTCATCGATCAATCCCACTTTCTTCGTCTTCTCTTCTCTTCGATTACTCCACCTTCGATTTCAGTTAATTTTTGGGTTTCATTGAAAAGTTTCGAATTCGATTCTGTATTGTACAAGGGTTTATGATTTGTTGCTTTAGGTAGATTGAAAGAGAAAGGGTGTTGGTATTTATGACAATATGAACGATTTGGATTGTGATTGAGCTTGATTGAAGTTGCAGGTTTTGGATCAAGATAGGATATTGAATTCCATTATCATTTTGGATTCCAGGTTTTTGTTTTAACTTATTCAATTCATGGTTCTGATTATTATGTATGATGTATCTGGTGTGAATTCGATGATTGAAGCTTCTTTTTGTTGCTTGATTTTGAATTCCATTATCGTTCTTTTTGTTGCTTGATTTTGATTGAGTCTCCTCTTAGTTATGCTTGTATTGGATTAGCTGAGTTTCATTAAAGCCATTGTATAAAGTGACAGATTTAAGCATTTGTAATATATGTTGGATTGAGTCTATGCACAGGCTTTGAAACTGATCTTTGTGGTAAGAGCATGAAACTGAAGTCTTTGTGCTGTCGTTTAACCTGGTTGGGCAGAAGGAGAATGCAAAGGCAAAGCTGGTTGAATTGGAATCTCACGACTTAAACATAACTCTTATCTGCATATGGAACCTATGAAACAAAAGAAGAAGATGATCGTGATAGAAACAAAGAATTATAGAGGCAAGAACAGAACAACATATGGAACCTCCTGGAGACTTGTACGAATTGTGGAGGCAAGAACAGAACAGCTGAGCAGATAATCGATGAAGAGTATGCAGAAATTCAGCCCACAAAGAGCTTTCTACCACTCTGTTAATGCTCAGTCGCATGAAGAAGCTATGCGTTCTGTGCAGGAGCTATTTGGGAACATCCATAAAGTTGTCTCAAAGGCACAACAACTCAGGTTTGTTTTTCTATCCATCACAAAGAACGGAAACATATAGCTGAGACAAGTAGACAAGTAGAGCTGAATTGGCATACTTATTCAATCTTGTTTATACTAAGCTTTGAATTAAACTTGTAAATCTTAGATGATTTGTTGATCTTTGATGTGAGATGGTATCGACTATGGATGAAAATTATTTTTTGATTTTAAAGAACCCGTATTCGGTATGTGCAACATGGGTCTCAGAGTTATGAAATTGTTAGAGAAACTATTTACTTAAATTAATACTAGGTTCTGACCCGCATGTGCGCGGGGTTACGCTTCAGTCCTTTTTTTTGTGTGTGTGTGTGTGTGTGGGGTTTGTTTTGTGTTTGTAACACCTGTCTTTTTACAAAAATAACAGTCGTGTCTGCATTTTTTCATTTCTTTACAAACGAAAATATTTAATAAAAACCCCTATAAGATAATAAGATCAACACTAAACTATATGTTACATCATTTTCCTACTTGTCTTTGCTTTTCATGTTTGGCCCCGATCTTGACCCATCCACAATCGTTCTTTGCGGCTCCGCAGCTGTGGTCTCTGCAGATGTTTACCAGAACTTTCGATCTCTCGTATCTTCCTCTGCACTTCGTGTGACTCGGTCTCTCCTGGGAAAAGATTCATTCTACGTCTGCCTTAAAGAAAGCAAAGCTCCTTCCCTAATATAGCACTGGTTCACTCTCATTCACTGTGACAGTCGCTAACGATGCAGGGCTGAATAAACTCTATGTAGCCTATTGTTCCATTTCCATCCATACCAGTCTGAAAATGTATATATATCATCGTTATGTGCTTTAATGGAGATCGCTTCATTATGAAGGTTTAAAAGAGAAGGCTTATGATACTCACAGCTTCCATGAGTTGCTTAACTTCAGCTTCAAAGAGCTTAGAGTCAAGTCTGTGCAGTCCGGTTTTTAGTTGTTCATAAGTGATTGACCCGCTTCTGTCGGAATCCATAGTCTAAAACATGCTTTTAAGACCTTTGATTTCCTCTTTCGATAGACCCTCTGCGATAACCTGCAAACCAAACACACAAATCACAATCCGAAGTTCAGGTCCCAGTAGATATGAGATGAATATTGAGTCATTCATTTAATCACTTATGAACATGTTCCTTCCTCCGCAAAATTGAAAGAACCCCAAACACACACCATAATGTCCTCTCTGTCTTGATGTTGGTACCCAGTCAAGCCCACAACTAAACTTTTAGCCCCTGGAATCCCATTCAAATTCTAAGAGGGCTGATGCCAAATTACCCAATATGATAAACCCTTGAGTAAAACTTGTTACTAATATCTTCTTCTTCTTCTCTTTTTTTGGAACTAATCATAAGAAACTTACCGATTTTTCATCTATAAACATTCCAACATCAAAGCTGTGATCAACCCATGACCTAGTGACAACTGACAACCACCTTCCCACTGCTACGGGCAGCAACACATAACGGATCATCCTATAATATCCCAAAAGCAAAGTACGATCTTTTTCAACTGCGAAGACATAATAGAGAGAGAGAAAAAAATAGAGATAAGACTTACATACACAAACTTATCTACAATGAGGTGAGTACACGTTTCGTTGTATTGCCCAACATCAATACCACCACTACCGAGAAGCTTGGATCATATCTGTAGCGAGATCATTGGGCAAAATTGACACAAAAATATGTCAATGAATCAGAAATCTAGCGAGTAAATACTGAACAACGGAGATTGCTCCCAGAGAAACAATCGCAGAACACGTTCTGGGAAAATCAAAGAGAACGGAGAGAACAGAAATTGAAAGACGATGAGAATCAAACAGAGAAGAAACGGCTTACCCCATACGATAACCCCGTCGGAGAAAAAGTGGCACCTTGTTCTAAAAACTAAAACCCTAAATCGATGGGATTTGGAGACTTTTTTTTTGTATTTATATTCGCGTGTGAACCGGGTCTGCGTGTAATCGTTTCTAAACGGGTCGGTTTTCAAAATTAGAGGATTAAATTTTGGGGGTTTGATGTCTGATCCGATCCGGTTAAAGATCCGGTTTGATTTAAGTTGTATAAAGATCCGCGTGTTTTTCCGAATCAATTCGGGTGGGCTATTCGCGATTTAAAGCTATTCGGGTGGGTTATTCGCGAGTAACCGAGTCAACTCAGCCGAGTTGGCTTTTTTTGATTTTTTTCAGACACTTTTAACCTCTGCTATCCCTGTATCCAAACAGAATTCCTTCATTGACCCATGGGTTTTTTTGTCTTTTTTTTTATAAATGTACTTCTCCATTACTAATAAAGAGATTATAAATCAACACATCAAAAATCCCTGTGCCTCTTCAGGGATTGACAACTCAGCTTTTTTAAGCTTCTTGGAACTGGAACTGACACCTCAGTTAAATTGTCCAACCAATCACAACATTTCATTTAATCTTAGTCAGCAACTTTTCAGATTTAGCTTGCCACGTTTTTTATCCGGTTTGTTTGGTTTATTTCTTTTTTTTTCCATGACCCGGTTTCGTTTCATTCTTCTTCTCCACAAATGGAAGCATTCGCCTAAAGAAATCTCGGCTGAAGAAATCTCTCCGTGACTCCGTCCTTGTCCCCATTAACAAAAAGCACGTAGATTCCGACGTATCTCTCCTCCTCTGAATTCTCTCATCTGCAACAATGACTACATCAGCGATGGATCCTCCGCCGCAAAAACCTACCCGTGATCCAGACCCTGAACCAAACAAAACATCGAATTCAGAGAGCAAGGAATTCTCCGCCGTATCGGAAGTCTCTTCGATGAACCCTCCGCCTCCCAGGAACCCTTACACAGCTATTCTAGAGTCGACGGAAGTAGTAAACCCCGAGATAATTGAAGAATCCAAGGACGATTCCGTCGCTGTAGACGATAATAAGCAACCCCGTGTCCGAGTCCGGTCCTGTACACTATCCCAGAGTGGAGTGGACCTCCGTGCCACAAATTTCAGCTCGAAGTCCTAAGGAAGGCGCCATTGTTGAACAATTAGACGTGTAAGCTCTGTTGTGAATCTATTCTCTTCTAAGAAATTTATCAATTTGATTTTGCTGGAGATGCGCAATAACATTCTCAATTTGATTTGGACGTGACAGTTTGTGTGATTTTTCTCTTGAGCACCTTTCGATTTCAATGTTTCATGAGGTGATTTATCTTATAGCTAAATCTCAGAGTGTTAAAGTTTTCAAATTTGGATTATGAAATTTAAATTCTGATTTTTTTGTTATGATTTGCCAGTAATTCAGTACAAGAGAAGTGGAGTTGCCTATCTATTCGATTTTGGAAGCACTCATGGAACGATAGTTAACAAGAACAAGGTGTTTTATTTGTTGCTTCATGAATGTTCAGTCTCTTGATCAAGCTTTGATTGTGCTAACAATGAGTTGTGATTGTTGAAGGTGGACAAAAGGGTTTTTGTGGATTTGCATGTTGGTGATGTTATTCGCTTTGGGTAAGCAGCAGAAGCATACCTCACTTCCATTGAGGTTGATTACTTGATTTTCATACGTTTCTCTTGGCTTGGGTTAGAAAATGTGTCTTTGCTTAACACATGTTTTCATCATGGCGGAGATTACAGATATGATGTTTCCCTGGATATAAACACACGAGGGCCCAGTAATCTCATGGGATTCGCCAAGAAATTCAAGAAACTGAAGTTTTTCTTGCAAGTGTCCACAGGTATGTGAATGGGAAAAATAGAGGAATTAAAAGAGGATTTTGTGATGTTTCAGCTTCTTTATATTTGGAAAAACAAAAATCATTTGTGCAGCTTATGTGAATGGACGAAGGCAAGGAAGGATCATGGAGAAGCCATTCACAATGGGAGATTGTATAGCAACTGAGAACTTCCTTGAAGAAAAAGAGAAAAGCATTAGACGTCGGTAGAGAGATGAAGCTAGCTCTTGATGCTGCTACAAATGGGACTTATGATCAAGAGGAAGCGCAGAAGATGAAGGATCTCGGTCTAGAGAGGTAGTCATCTAAGTCCATGAGCTTTTCTTTTGGTTTTCAGGTGAGGAATCTGAGTCGACTTGTCCAGCTCTGGCCTTATATTGGAATTTTCCGCAATTTCTGTGACTCTGTTGATAAGCTGAGAGATTCTGTTGATGTTCCTGGTGGAGTCGCACTGCTGTTCGTGGTGAAAAATGACGTATGGATTATAACAATCTTTGTTTTCAAATTGAGTTTGTAAGAAGAAAATATATGTTATTTGCATAACTAATATTAAATGATTAATATTGATTAAAGAAAATACTGAAATACAGTTTCATACAGTTTCAAACGACACCGTCACAAACAATCTCCTTTCGGCCCATGCCCAATAATTATTAAACCATTTTAGTTTAATAGAAAAAAAGATAATCGACATTCGATTAAATAACCAAATTATAATATCTTAAATTTAATTAATACAAACACAAGAAAACAATGATATTCTTCCGCAGCGAAGCGCGGTATTTACCTAGTAATCTTAAAATATATTAAAGAGTTCTATATGGAGTTGTGCGATGCACATGCTCTTAAGATGTGGATTATTTCTCTTATGATATGATAATCACTGAATAAAATAAAATAATTTAAATCACAAAAAAACTTTACAATTATGGAAACACCAAGCTAACCTTGGATTTTTTCAAAAACCCCTTATTAAGAATTTTACTTATACAACTACATTTTAACAAATTTGCAATTACTAATTTCCAAAATTTCCAAAATTGCAATGAATTCACTAGTAAGTTAAAAAGAGTACATTAATGAGAGATAAACTTTGGAATTTGGATATTAGCCTCACATCTAAAACAATCCAACGCGTTGATCTCCACCATCCAATAGTTCGAATGTTCGATAACAATCACACACGTAGTTACGATACATCCCCATACACCTTATAAAAACCCAATCTGTAAATCTTCTTCTTCATTGAAAAACCCCTTTCCAAGTTTTCCCAATTCCACTGAACAAAGAACTCAAAAAAACCCATCAAACTTTCGCCATGGATCCTCAGCAACGGAGACCAGAAACTGCTCGAGCCCCACCGGTTGGAGAGCCCGGCGGCGATATATCTTCGATTTTCATTGCGTTCGGTGTTTTCGCTGCGATCGCCGCTTTGGTAATTTCTTTGGTAATTTATCGTCTTTTCTCGCTACTATGATTCGATGATGGTGTTTATACACGCATCACACTTTGATCCTTACTTGTTTAGTTACTTGATTCGAATTTGAGTTTACCCTTAACCGGAATGTTGAAGCTTTGCATCCGAAGTTGACTTAAAGACGAAGACTTTTACTTTCTTCTCAATGTAGATTTTGTCTTGCTTCTTAAAAGTGTAGTGTACATTGAATTTATCTTGATTTGAATTGATTGGAAGACGGATATATATAGTTCATGACTTCATGTTGCTTGATTGACTGATCCTTGAAATTTATACTTGTGTGATGGATTAAGCAGGTCATGTTTCCTTCATCGTTGGTGCACCAAGTTCCTGAAGGTCACGTTGGAGCGTATTGGAGAGGTGGTGCTCTTCTCAACATTATCACAGAGCCTGGTACTACTCACTATTCTCCTTTTTGCTCAAGTTTCGTTCTTTCTGTTGTTTTTCCGATTTGAAACACTGTTGATTGCTTCAGGTTTTCATCTAAAGCTGCCTTTCATAACCAACTATGAGCCTGTTCAAGTTACTCTCCAAACAGATCAAGTAAGTTTTGTGCTATAAAAAGCTTGAATGTGTTCAAATTGTAGCTTTTTTTTTTTGTTACTAAGTAAATTCTCTATGCCTTAGGTTAAGGATATACCATGTGGTACCAAAGGAGGTGTTATGATTACCTTTGAGAAGATAGAGGTAAGACCCTTGTGTTGTTATTTCCTCTGCGTGAAGTTTGTTGATCTTAAGTTACATGTAATGACCAGAGTAATAAACGATTTTAGGTTGTTAATCGATTGCGTAAGGACTTTGTCTTTGACACTCTGCTCAACTACGGTGTGAACTATGATAACACATGGATATATGACAAGATTCACCATGAGATCAACCAGTTCTGCAGCTCTCATTCGCTTCAGCAAGTCTACATTGACATCTTTGACCAGGTACTTGACTATATTAGGAAGTCCTTGTTTTGATCTTAACTGTTTGGAAGAGTATTACAGTTTGAATATTATGCTCATGTAATTGACTGGTTCATAGCAGTGAATATAGCTTACTTTGGATGATGTTTACATTGTGTCTGATATTTGGACAATGTTGAATGATTTTTTCAGTAATTTTATTCAAAACAATTGTGTTTCAGATTGATGAACGGATGAAAGAGGCTCTTCAGGCTGATTGCACACGTTATGCTCCAGGAATCGAGATTATTAGTGTGCGTGTGACTAAGCCGAAAATTCCAGAGAGTGTAAGGAGAAACTTTGAGCAAATGGAAGAGGAACGCACTAAGGTACACTCTTTTCGATCCCCACTGGTTATTTTGCTCATATTTCCAAGTCTATTGTCATGCATGATGAAGAGATATGACTCTGTTTAGCAATGCAGAACGGTTTTAAGACTGCTTACACAGTTTGAAAATTGATGGTTTTTTGAAGGTCTTGATTGCTATTGAGAAACAAAGAGTTGCTGAGAAAGAGGCAGAGACGAAGAAAATAATGGCCATTAGTGAAGCCGAGAAGAACGCCAATGTTAGCATGATTCATATGCAACAGAAGCTGACAGAGAAAGACAGTTCAAGAAGAGAAGCAGATATTGAGAATCAGATGTATCTTGATCGTCAAAAGAGTCTTGCTGATGCAGATTACTACCGGTAAGAGTCGGTCTTATTTTGTCTTCAATTGTTTACATAGTAACTTGTTTAATTTGTTCTGACCAATGTCCCTATAGTGTACTGAAAGAAGCTGAAGCAAACAAATTGAAGCTCACTCCTGAGTTTCTCGAACTCAAGTTCATCGATGCCATTGCTCGCAACACCAAAATATTCTTCGGAGACAAGGTTTTTGCTCTACACTCTCTCTTCTCCCATCTCTAATCTCTCTGTTTCTGCTGTTCTGAAGAAGTATGTATCTTTACTGTGCAGGTACCTAACATGGTATTGGATCAAAGGCTGCTTGGGAACTTCCTCAATCATTCTACAAAAGACAAAGATGGAAACTTGGAAATGTCCACTGATACATAGACTAGTTGTTTAAGTCTCACCCTCAAAACAAAACCTTCTTTTCATTATTGCATAACTTATTACGCTAACTTTGGAAGCTCTCTTGTGGCTAATAAACTTGTTTGTCTGAAAAAAGGAATCTTGTTGAGACTAGAGCTTATTCGTTTAATACATTTAACCCATTTTCTTAGATTCAAGGCTCCACAAAATATCAATGAGATGGACAGTTTTCGATTGATGACCAAAAAGAGCTCATATATGTTTGAATTTTGAGCCTTAAATATCTAAAACTATAAGAAAAACAAAATACCTAAAACTTAGTGGAGAAGATGTATGATTCTAGCATTGGTAATTGAAGATTTAATATTTTGTTTCTTGACAGAAGTGAATAGTAACCTTTTAGTGAGCGATTGCGACAAATATAAATTTGGTCATTTTTCCATTTTATTTTGTTTATTAGATTATTAAATTAACCAAAAAAATAAGTATTAAATTGCATTATACCATGAAAAGAGTGAATATAACAATACCAAGACCGGATTTCAACTCCAAAATGGTTTCGTAGTAATGATTTACACTTTATCTTTTAAAATTAATCAAGCAATATATAAAAAAAAATTCTAAAATATTATAATTCACTTAAATATTTAAGATAAACCTATTGTTCAAAGATGAAAAGTAATGATTTTTTTAATTAGTTTATTGAATTAACCAAAAAAACTAAGTATTAAATTGCATTCTACAATGATTTTTTTGTGTGTGTGTCCCACTTACAATGTACAGACCGGATTCCAACTCCGAAATAGTTTCATGACTATGCAATTTAATACTTTATACAACTCCGAAATGGTTTCACAGTAATGAATGCTCTACACTTTATCTTTTAAAATTAATCAAAAAATAAATATAAAAAAATATTAAAAAATATTATAATTCACTTAAATTTTTAAGATAAATAAACCTATTGTTTAAAGATGAAAAAGTGATGATTTTTTTAATTAGTTTATTGAATTAACCCAAGAAAACTAAGTGTTAAATTGCATTCTACAATGATTTTTTTTTTGGCCCACTTACAATGTGAAGACCAGATTCCAACTCCAAAATAGTTTCATGATTATGCAATTTTACACATTATTTTTTAAAATTAATCCAACAATCAAAAAATTATTCTAAAATATTATAATTTAACACTTAAATTTTAAGAAAACCCATTGTTGAAAATTGAAAAAAATGATCAATTTTTTTAATAAGATTATTGAATTAACAAAAAAATAAGTGTTAAATTGCATTATACCTTGAAAATAAAACGAATTTGACCCCACTTACAATAGAAAGACGGGATTCCAACTCCAAAATAGTTTCACGGTTATGCAATTCAACACTTTATTTTTAAAAATTAATCCAACAATCAAAATTTTATTTTAAAATATTATAATTTAACACTTAAACTTTTAAGAAAATCCATTGTTGAAAGATTATATTTTTTATTAGATTATTGAATTAACCCAAAAAAAATAAGTGTTAAATTGAATTAAACTGTGAAAATAAAACGAATTTGGCCCCACTTACAATACAAAGACCGGATTCCAACTCCGAAATAGTTTCACAATTATGCAATTCAACACTTTATTTTTTTAAACTAATCCAACAATCAAAAACTTATTATAAAATATTCTAATTTAAAAACCTGAAAGTTAAAAAAAAATGATCAATTTCTTTGAAACAACAATCAAAAGTTCGTAAAATCTAAAATGTTCTAACATTAGAATTAAAACCATTCAAAAACATTTGACCAGGAAAGAAACAAACCTTATTTTTATTTCTATTGTTGAGAGAAAGAAAATAACTTACAGATATTACCATGACATGGCTAAGAAATCTGAAGTGGCTCTTTGTTCTTGCTATTTGTATCGTCACACACACACGTCCTGCCAAATTTGCGTTTCGTAATTTCAGTCTTAATTTTTAACAAAACTGAGACTTCTCAATCATTCCCTGAACATTGAAACGTTTGTTCTAAAAGACTAACCTAACTTGCATTAATGATCACGAAGAATAAACTCGTTGACATGATCAAGAGGAAGAAACTTCATCATCATACACAATTAAAGATACAGAATCTGCAACATTTAATCAAGGGAAAGGACTAAGTTGCAAACAACGAACTGAAAGCGCAGATAATTACTATTCCACCTATACTAATCATGGCAGATACGTCAAGCAAATCAATAATTGCAATCAAGATCCGTAAATCAGAAGGCTAATACGTACGTATCTACAACAAACTGGGAAAATCAATCGGAATCAAAAGCCCTAACAGAATCAAAAGGGGAATAATGTGAACATACCATGGAAATTGAGGGACGGGGAGGATCTGGATTGACGTTCCAACGGAAAAGCAAGCACGAGACCAGAAAGGAAAGCAGGAAGATGAACCTCCGCCTCCGCAACATAAATTAATTAGGGTTTTCTTATCAGAAAGATGAACAGAGGCGGAAACGGAAACGAAGATGAACGACGGCGAGTGAAACGACGGAAAGGTTTCACGACGGAAAATAAAGAGAGAAGGAGCGATGCGAGGAGAGGTTCGTAGCCGTTTGGGTTGTTGTGAGAATGAGAATGAAATGTTTAAACAGCAAACAGTATTTATAAGCTTAATGGCCTTTTTTGTGTACAACGGTCATCATATTAAAAGACTCAACTGAATGTAGCCGTTAAAGATCATCCAACTTATTTAAACAAAAACCTGCAATGAATTTTAGATTGTTATCTGACACATGTAAATTTGATTATTGACATCGATAGGTGTCTTCTTCACAAGCATGTAAAGAAACCTGATATAACGTGAAACGCTTCTAGAGGAGGTGTAAGATCCACAATGGTGATCTTCTTCCAGTCTTTTACTAACTATAAATTTGCGGCAATCACATTCAAATCCACATCCTCATCAATCCATATCTCTTTCTTTCTTTCAGGGAGATTCAGTATAGTATATATGAGCTTAGGAGATAAGTCATACAGGTTCTCTCTTGCAAATATATTGTTTGCGATCTGTTCCTTGCGTGGTACGTTTGCATAAAACTCCATGACAAGTTCAAGAACATACGATCAAGTTCTTGTTAATGAATCTGAAGATTACTTGCCTCGGCTTTCTGAGATTTTTTCGATGGGTCAGATGCATGCACAGTCAGGGCCGGCCCTGGGCTAAAGCTAATAAAGCATTGTGCTTTAGGCGCCAAATTAGATAAACATATTAAGGGCAGTATGAACAGTAAGTTCCCGTAGGTATAGTGGTTTGAGTAGTGAGCTATCGTAGCTTATGGGCTGGGTTCGAATCCTTGATTTCTTATTTTTGTCCCTTTTTTATTAAATATAAAGATCTTCTCGATCTAACTTCCTTTTTCTTTGTTCCTTTATTATAATAAATCACTAATAGAGTACCCGCACGTTTGTGCGGTGTGACGTTGTTGTTTTGTGTAGAAAATTTAAACCCTAAATCCGAACCCGACAAAAAACCCTAATCAAAAAATTTAAAAACCCAAACTTTTTTAATAGGTCTAAACATGAAAATCCGAAATCAAAAAAATCCCGAAAACCCTGACTGAACAAAAAAAATCTGGAAACTTTTTCACCCGGAACCCGACCCCAATACCTAATCAAAATTTTAAAATACTCAATTTTTTTAATATATCTAAACCCGAAAACCAGAAATCTAAAAAATCCGGAAAACCCTAAACTGAAAAAAAAATTGAACCTAACCCGAACAGAAATTTTCAAAGAAACCCGAACAATTTCTATATCTCTATATATATCTCTATAAAATTATGTCTCAGATTTTCACCCAAACCCGAACTTGTCTATAAAAACCCGAAAATCCAAAAAGCATATTCTATTGATTTGGAATTATCGTTAGATTATGTTAAGTTTTTTTTTTGCAGATTTTTAAGAGATGGAAAACGGAAGTTTTCTAAACCATCGGTTTATTTTAAGTTATTATTCTTGTATCCAAACAATTTTTTCCATTTATTCTTCTATCCAAATAGATTTTTCTCTTATTCTTATATCCAAACAACTTTTGTTTCCATTTATTCTTCTATCCAAATAGATGTTTCTCTAATTCTTGTATCCAAACATTAGAATGTACTTCTCAATTAATAATATAAAGATATATAATTTGAATTAGAAAATAAGTAACTCAATTAAAAAAAAACCTAGTTACCTTTTTTGGTCAAACCACTTATGGACGTTCCACATTCCAACTTCTTCTCCACCTTCTCATCTCAAATTTTTTCATGAGACCGTAAAACTTCAATGATTCTGCCTACTCTTAAATTTTTGATCTTTGTGGTTTCATCTTTTTCTTTTATGTAAGTTTTCTTCATTACATTCTCATCTTTTTTGTTTGTAATTTTTATATTGTTTTCTCAAATGATGAACAAACATGAAACTTGGAAATTGGGTTCTAATCTTCAATCATACTTAATTTCTACTGCTTGAAAAATTGAAGGATTCAAGTTAACTTATAAGCTAAAATTGTTGCTAATTGTTATTTTTAATGGGCAATATATGCAGTTAAAAAAAATTTGTAGCTGTTAAAGGGCAACAAATTTTATATATGCTTTAGGCGCCATATGTGTGCACAGTGGAGGCAAACTCTGTCCTAGCCCATTTAGTAACCCAAATCTCGACGAAAACTTACCCGCATCGTGACTCCTGGTTACTCACCGTGGGTTACTTCGGTCGTCTCGTTCTGTTCGTTGATGTAGACTAAGCGGAGGAAGGTAAGCTCATTTTGGATGAAACCTGTTACGATGCTCTGTACTCCTCCAACGTGAGTCCCATCGTCAAAGTGATCTACTCCCATATTTGTGCCAAAGGGGCCACCAACAACACGTAGAGCCATTGTTAACTTAACTAGTGAGACAAGATTTATAGAAAAACTAAAAGTAATAGAAAAATAACACTTTGAAACAAACTAATCTTCATGTGCAAAGCTAAGCACTCTTGTTTACTTATGTTTTGCCTAGTTTTTGCTTTTGTTTTGCTTACATACTTTTCTTTAGTTTTGTAAATTTACTTTTTTTTTTCTTTTTCAAGTTTTAGAACAATACTATAACATACGGATGAGTTTGGTGTGAGTCTTTGAGAGATTTTGGTGCGACACTCTCAAGTTTTTGAAATATTCACCATTTAGATAGTAATATAATTTTTTGTTCACATATTTACCATTAAATACAATATAATTCGGTGTTAAACCACTGGAAATGCTCTTTGTTGGTATCTAGGTTTGTGATAGGTGGTCAAAATCAAATCGAATTCGCATCCGAGCAAAGTTAAGTTCTAATTCGGTTTATCCTAAAAATATGTGAACACATATGTGTTTCTTTTTTTCTTTTTTGTTCATATCTACCCATTTTGGATGCTTTGGTTTCTGATTATTAGAATTCTCAACTTCTTATGTCATGGATAGTTTATGAACATATATCTATGGAGACAGAACATCAAGTTTTGATGTTTGTAAAGATGTCCAAGATTCACTTGGATTTGCTCTTAAAGTCATAACTGAAAAGAGATGATTAAGATTTCAATCACTGAGAAACAATCAAGAATCTTGTCTAGTTATTTTGTTTCCTGAATCCTTGGAACAATGGTGGATGCCGAACCAGATTGAACCAAGGAACAGTCTGAATGAGAAATACACCAAACTTATCAATAAACAAAAAATAAAATTCCAGCCACATACAAAAAAATATATTTGGAACGACAAGGTGTATTACTTTTCTCCCAAGCTTCTTTCTCTGCAGTTCCTCTGGCTGCTTCATTATATTCTTCGAGATTCATCTTCATAATAATTAGAAAACTATAAAAAGAAAAAACAGATTAGTTAATATATGATTTTCATTTACTTATTCATCAACTTTTTGTCTTGTTAAAATATGTATGTCTATAGTCTCTATTTTGTTTTTCAAGTTCTGAAAATTACCTCTCTAATGAGCTGTGATGCTTCTACGTCTGAGTTTGTTTCACCCAAAAAAGTTCAAGAACCACAATTTTTTGTACGAAAGAAGTATGTATCCGATCGTCAATCCAAAGGCAATACCAGGTACAAATCCTATCATAGCTGCAATCCAAATAAACATTTCTTCGTCTTCTTTTTCTTCTTCTTGTGGCTCTGGCGTTTCATATTGTTGCGATGTTGGAGAGTGGATATCTTTGCAATCTTCATCAAGAGAAGAGCCAAAAAGTCCCAGGTTTCCCTCGAAAGAAGAACAATTTTGCCTTCGAAACTGAGTGGCCCCTGGTACTGGTCCAACGAGCTGGTTATGGGAGAAGTTCATGTACGCAAGAAATGAAAGAACCCCTAGCTCCTGTGGAATTTCTCCTGAGAGATTGTTTTGGGATAGGTCTAGCGACTCGAGCTCTATCATGTTGGCCATAGATGATGGGATGTGGCCAGTGAATGCATTGTGTGACAAGTTGAGGACAACAAGCTCTTTCAGTAGACCAATGGACCTTGGAATCTCTCCTTGAATTTTGTTTCCTGAGAAGTCAATAGCTGTGTAGATTGTTGAGATAAATTGCATCTCCATCTCTACACCTTTATTCATCAAAACCATTGAATCATAGTATTCGCCTTGTTCATCTCCCATGTAGTTTTGAACTTCATCAGCTGAGGACATTGCACGCCAATTCAGAAAGAAATCTGATGGCAATGTCCCGTTGAAATGATTATGCGATATGTCAATGATTCTCAAGGTAGGAAACCGGGTTTGATGTATCGGTCCGTAGAATGCATTGGAGCGTAAGTTGAGAACTTGTAGCTTGTGTAGAGAACTCAACCAAAACGGAAACGTGTCTCTGATTTTATTGCTTTCGATGTTGAAAACTTCAAGAATAGAGAAACTCATGAAAGATCTTGTGAGCTTTCCCACAAGTTGGTTGTGGCCGACGTCAAATGACCTCAGATTGTCAAATATTGTCTCTGGGAGATGATTTCGACGCTTGTGAATTCCCAAACAGCAAGGTAGCGAACCACTAAAGTTGTTGTTGGATAAATTGAGATTGCGTAGAGAGTGAAACGAACATATGAAGGAAGGAATTTCTCCACTGAAATTGTTGTTGGAGCCGATAAAGTGCTTCAAAGATGATGATTCTGTATTAGGGTTTAGTCCATGTTTCGTTGACCCTTCTTCAAATCCAGTGAGATCGTTGTTGGAAAGATCCACGTACTCTAACTTTGGTAGTGTCCATAGCCATGCAGGGACGTGACTTTTGATTTTGTTGTCGGAAAGGTCTAACACCTTCATATCTTGTTTTGTCCTTGTAAACTCTGGAAACTCTACGATACCGCATCCTGACAAGTACACATGACTCAGTTGCGATGGATGATGTGAGTTTGAACTCATGTTTGTGCCTGAAACATGGTTACCAGAGAGATACAAGGTATGGAGTGACTTGAGATGCGAGAAGATACCAAAGTCAACTTGGACTTGACTATTGAGATGGGAAATATCAAGTAACTCAAGGTTGACTAATTTGGATATGGATCTTGGGATTGGACCTCTTAAATTGTTTCCGGCAATAGAAAACTCTTTTAGATAAGACGGCGTAGACATATTCCCAAAGTCAAGCCTGCCGTTGAGTTGGTTATCATCCAAAAAGATAGAACTTAAAGAAGGATTGGTGAAGAAGGTAAAAGGGAGACTTCCAACGAAAGAGTTTTTGCTTGCATCAAAATCTTCCAAGTTGAAGAGTAAAGTGATGTTAGGAGGAAGCGTGCCTGTGAAGTCATTGGAGTAGAGATTTAAATATGAAAGCTTTGTCAAATTTAGTAGTGCAACTGGGAAGTTACCGGTGAGTCTATTAGACCCAGCTTTTAAGTAGATGAGGTTGTTTAGATTGCTGAAAGAAGATGGGATTTCACCAACGAGATTGTTACCAGTGAAGCAAAGTGAGGTAAGACAAGAACAGTTTCCAAGTGAAAATGGGATTGAACCACTAAAATTGGAATGTGGAAAATGCAAAACATTTAGATGCTTTAGATTGCTGATGGAGTCTGGTAAACTTCCCGAAAAGGATGTGAAAGAGAAATCCAACAACACAAGAGAATTATTTCCATTAAAATCTGGAAGAGAACCTTCGAGACTTGGATTGGAATTTACACTAAAGAATTGCAATTTAGGTAGGAGAAGAACATTGCTAGGAAATTTACCAAACAAGTTGCAATAACGAAGACGAAGTGATCTCAAAGAGGTCAGGTTTGAGAAACTTTGGGGAATTTCTGCTGAAATGTTTACATAGCTTAGATCTAATTCCCTTAGGTTTCTCATCTTTTGGGAAAGTAGATAAAGAAATGGTTTCTCAGTTGATAAAGAAACACTATATGAAGAAGCAAGATCAAGAGACACCAACCTAGTTAGATGAAGGATTTCTTTAGGGATTGGACCTGAAAATGAAGAGCGTGAAAGGTTAAGTGTTTCTAACCGCTTTAGTGTATGGAGTCTAGCCGGGATTGGAGATGCAGTGAAATTGTTGTGAGCTAGGTTTAGATCTCGGAGATGTTGCAATCTAAAATGACTGCTATTGGGTTTGAAATTTCCATGGAGGTTGCTGCCACTAAGGTCTAGCCCAATCGCCTCACCTGACTCATCATCACAAGTGATGCCATCCCAATTACAACAGTCACTATTGTTTGTCCATGATTCCGTCTTCGGATAAGATATAAAGTTTATCGAAACTAGAAGACCATAAACATCCCAATCTTGAAACTCACCAGTGTTTCGAATCTCAAACTCCTTCTTGAACTCAAGAAGTGCGTCTTTTTGGACGGGACGACACAAGTTCCGTGTAAGAGAAGAAAAAGTGTTTAAAACACTTGAAAAAGAGAAGAAGAAAAGAAGAATGATACGAAGAAAGAAGCTCATTGCGTTGGAGCCAATAATTCTTGCTAAGAATCAATGCAGAAACTATTTTTCTTCTCTCCTTTTTTTTTGTGTGTGTTTATTTAATTTGTGGTAAATAATGGCGAACTTGATCGCTCTATATATATACACCTAGACAACATGCTACGAAATTTCGTAAGTCATTCGTATACAAACTATTATTCATTTAGTATGAACAGTCTTGTTGTATTTTAATAACGTTTTTACACAACAATTCGTAGAGACGGAAGCATGGTCCATGCATGGAATTTAAGATGCCTAATAATTGAGTTTGTCCTTGTTCTTCTTTCATGGGGAATACAAGATCAAGATATGGTCTAGTTTTCCAGCTGCCTCTCAAATTTTAGATATGAACACAATAATGTTTTTATCCGTTAGTTCATGAAAAGAATTATCGTTTTTCTTCGTTATGTGAAATAGAGAGACTGAAAGAATCTAAGGTAGTAGTGCATCTGGGATGGAAAATGACAAATGAAGTCATAGAAAATCATCTTCAAACACTTTTTGCAGAAGAACTACATAACTGGAAGCCCTAATTTTTTCTCTCCCTTCTCTCTCCTAAACCCAGCCGCCGTCAACCTTTTTTTTCATCTTGGCTTCTTCCTCTCCGGCGGCCGGCGCTCCTCGCCACCGCCGGGAGAGGCCCCACCTTTCCTTTCCTCTGTTCGGCTCTTCTCCGTTTTGCTCAGTTTTCAGCGGAGAGGTCTTCTTCTCGGTTTCGTCTCGAGCTCCACAGTGGTGATTCTCCGCGGTGGAAGATTGGTGCGGAGGTGGAGTGTGGCGACTCGGCTCCTTCCTCCGGCGTGGTGAACCGATCTCTGTCATAGGCGGTTCTTAGGTGAGGGATCCGTCAGATCTGGTCGTATTGGTGGTTTTGGAGGCTTTGAGGACGTGTCTCCGCCGCCGATCTATCCAAGGAGGCGGCTTTCCTTCTTCTGGTTTCTCGTCAACGGCAGCAACGGCGTGATCTCCGGTGTGCCGGAGTGGTGGCTCATCCGTTGTCTTTCTTGTTTCGTTCCCATCGGTGGATGTTGTAGGGCGATGGCTATTTGCGTTGGTGAATCCTCGGTGACGACTGGTGGCTTCTCTGCTCGTTTTCTAGCCGTCGGTGTGGCTCCTCTGTATCCATCCGGTGCTTCTCTCTTGACTTTGTTCAGCGGCTTCTTTGAGCGGTAATTCAACGTAGGGGACAGCTCCATCCAGCGAAAATGGTGATTACGTGAGGAATAGAGGCGGCGATTTTTGCTTTGGCGACTCTGAAACTTCTGTGGGAGTTAACCTCATTGGACCACGCCGGAGGTTGGTGGTCGGAGGCGGTTTCTTCGACTGCCCGTAGAGGCTCCCTTGCCGCCAGAAGATGAAGAGTTGTTGGAGTGGTTTCGTTTTTGCGCTAGTCTTCGGAGAAGCTGTAGGTTTTCTTCTCACTGAGGTTTTGAGGACTGGCCTCGGGTTTTGAGGCTCACGGCAACTATGATGAGACTCAAGTTCTTTGGGACTTTGGCAGCAGCGCAAATGTCCGGGCTTTGTTCGGAATCGGGTGTTTCCTTTCGAACTTTTACTCGGTTTGCTGTGATGTGTGTTTAGCTTATTGTTTGTTCGCTTTTTGTTTTGGCCGTTGTAACTATAGTCTGTTCTTGTAGGTTTTTGGTCTTTCTGTCTTCTTGTTATCTCTGTAAAATGGTATAAAATCTTCACATTTTACCAAAAAAAAAAAAAAAAAAATCTTCAAACACTTTTATTTATTTTGTTAAAAGACTTGCTTGAATTAATAAAAGAGATTACAAGGGAACCTAGATGAAATCACTCATCTAGAAAGTTTAAGTACAAAAATATATAAAGAAAAATGCATAGCCCAAAGAAAAAGAGAGAAGACCCATATGAAAGTTAGGCCCAACAAGCCAAGAGGTCAAGCCTTTTTAGATTTTGAAGCGCCAGGCTTTGGGCTCGGTCTCGCACTACGGAGAGAACAAGCCGAATAATCTTCCTCGCCGGGAAAGTAACTCCAAGATGAAATCTACGGTTCCTCTCACCCCAAATTTCATAGATACAAGCTTGCCATACAATAACGTATTTTTAATAAATATTTATTAAAAATAAATATTTATTAAGCCGGTTATAAATTTTAGACGGGAGATACAATAACGTTTACATGGATAATGTCATTTGAAAAATTAACTTCTACTTCATGGCTTTAAAGATGTTCTCATAATACTTATAATATACTAGGTCTTTTACCCGCGCACGCGCGGGTCTATTTTAATAGTTTGATTAAATATTTTTTATTCCTAAACTTTTGTCGTCAAGAGCATGTTCATGGTGACTATTGAACCAATATTTTTATTTTTCGTCCTTAGTTTATTTTTCTTTGGTCTATTCTTATTTATTTGGTTTCTTTTTGTTTATTTTGGTTTCTTCTTCATCTTTATTCCTTTTATATTTATTCATTCTCGGCTTCTCGCGGTTTCTTATTCCGTTATTTGGTCTATTTCTTCATCTTTGTTCATCTTTTGTTTTTTTGTCTTAGTTCTTTGATATTCTTGTCTTCACTTTTTTTTTCTTCATATTCTTTGTGTTCGTCTTGGTTATTGTTCTTATGTTTCTTCTATGATTAGTTCAGACGGTCGAAGTTGCTAGAGTTTTACTTTTTTTTTGTTATTTTTTTTCTAGATTATTTTCTGCTGGAATTTGTTTCACGATTTTATCCTTTTTAGAAATCTTTAATTTAATTAGGTAAAATAATTTTTTTACTATCTGATACCCTAAACCAAATTTAAAAATGTAAAAGATTCATAGAAATAAAATTAAGTTAGAGATATACAAATATATATTTAGACATATACTAACCAATGCCTAATAATAATACAAATAATTCAGTTTATGCGATCATAATGATATAGTTAAGCATAACTT